CCTTTTTTTTCTGAAAATTTTTGTACGAAAGTCGTAATAGTAGCCCCTTCATAATACAAGCCCCCCCTAAAAATTTTGAACGCTTGGACAGTTTAGAAGCCCCGGAGGCTTCTATTATGGGGGGGGGTTTATAAGCCTCGAAAAGTTCACGTTGTCTGTCGCGTAGAGCATCAAAAATAACCCAAAGGTCTCGCTAAAGCTTTTTCGAAAAACGTGTGGAAAGTGGTTTTCTAGACATACCAAGTTTTTGGTAAGGATGAAACCGAATTCAGTGAAAATGAACAAAACATTGCATAATTATACATCAAATTGTAGCTCTTGACGAGTTGATTCTAATGGCGAAGGAATTCGGTCTTGATCTAACTTTACAATCGAGTGATACTCAATTTACTTGAAAAATTTCTGAAGTTTGACCTCGATTTTCTCCTAAACGCTCGGAAAATTTTTCAAGATTTTTTCAGGATAGGAACTACTTAGCAAGATCTAGAACTTTGCCTATACAACCATCCCCGCCACTTTCAATTTTTCACCCTCAGTGTTCCAGAAATCCTCGTGGAAAACTACAGTACGGAAACACAAAGAAGCCTCAGAAAACGTTGAAGTACATTGAAATCTTCATGCTAAACAGGAATATACAGTGTGCTCGAAAACCTATGTACCATGCACTTCTGAGATCACTGGAGTTCAGGTTCAGCCAGTAGACGGATCTTTGAAGACTGTCTGTGGAGTTCGAACCACAGTATATGGAGGTGTAAAATTTGCGTCAGATTGCAGAGCGACATCTGTTCTATATCCACATGCTTTTATAACAGTACTTCAAAAGCACTATAAGGCCTTTGGAATGGCAGACTTAGACATTTTGTTTTGAAAGATGTTGGAAAGGCCTCCTGTTAGCACAGACTTATGGTTCCCAGTGTTCTCTTTCATAATCTGAAAACCATAGATCTCTAATGTTTTTTCTTCTACATTTATTCAAAAAAAAATCCATGGTCTATATGTTTTGAAATGGATAGTAGTATTCATAGGAAATTGTTTAGCTACTCAAACCATTAATTTGATCTCACGGCGTAAGCGAAAAACATTGAAAATAAAGTGGCTTCATAATTTTTTCCAGTCCTGTAAATATAACGTTTTCAAATTTTAGAAAGAGGGCATATTCTTTTCTTCTTTTCTGTGTTTATTTAAATTGTAAGTTGTCAGCATTCACATAATCTAATATTCTTTTTTGTTTGTGTTTCGAAATTTTCAGTTTGTGAGAACACTTTTTCTGCCATCAAACCGATATACTGCAATATTTTAACTAATAATAGAGTATTTTTTTAGCAACGATCATGGAAGAATAAGAGTATAATGTTAGTATAAGGTCAGGGTGTAAAATCTGTATGAAGTATGATGTTGCACTTAAATTAATCCTTCGATTTCTTTTTTGACATGTGCTCGATCAATGGGTGATTCACTTTTTCTGCTTTACTGACTTTCTGACGAGTACTCTTCTAAAGATAATCAACGGCTTTTTTGTATTTTTAATGGAACTAAATCTACTTTCACTCTAGACTTGTATACTTTTCTTCTCAAACTATCAAGACTAAATGGTTCCAGTATAATTGAGTCTAAGGTATGATAAGTGTTTCTTTTCCTTCATTGACATGTTTTAAGGCAAAATGTGGTGTATGCGATTTTTTTTCATTAACATTTGTCATTTATTTTATTTTTATCTCATTAGTCATGGCTTCAACTGACGTCAGGAAGCATGGATCCGCCTTCTCCAAATCAGTATTACGGTAAGATTTACTAGAAATAATTTAGTAAGTCATGAGACTATCTTTCTAGAGATGGATGCTTCTTTGGCATTGGCAATCCGCTGCTTGACATTAGTGCACAAGTTGATCCAGAAATAATGAGAAAGTATGTTCATCCAACATGTGTACATCATATTTTTTCTTTACACTTGTTTATTCAGCTATAATTTGAGACCAGGTGATTCGATACTGGCACGTGACGAACATGAAGAATTGTGAATATAAATAAAAGAATTAATATTAGTTTTGATGTATATAATTTTTTTAAGATTTAAAAGACTATTGAATGAGCTTCGATCAAGATATTCAGCTGGTGGATTTACACAAAATATTATGAGAACGATAACGGTATAAATAGTATTAGTGATTTGACTGTAACATATTTGATCCATTTCTAGTGGTTCCTGAAGCAGCCAAGAGTAGCCACATACATGGGCTGTGTAGGTCAAGATCATTATCACGATCTTCTTAACCAAGCAGCTGAAAACGACGGTCTCACGACTGCATATCAAGTCAATCCTAATTTATCTACAGGAAAATGTGCTATGCTTCTAACGCCAAACAGTCGGTAAATTATATATTTTTCTCATTAAAACTCTTTTTCATTTTTTTGTTTTACAGTGCAATGGTGACGAGTTTGGGTGCGTCCGAAGAATTTTCTGTTAAACAATTAGTCAACTCTGATTGGGCCTACATTGAAAAAGCACAAATAATTTGTTCTGAGGTGAGTTTTCCCGTAACCTGTTCGCATAGATAAGAATTTTTCAGCTTTGTGTAGGATTATTTTATTGGATCATCACCCGAAGCATTCTTGAAAGTTGCCCAGTACGCTCACAGCGAACAGAAAACATTTTGTATGACACTGTCGGCAAAATTCATTGCTGGCAAACGACTTGGCGGTTGGCTTCTCTGTGCACTACAATATGCAGATTTTGTTTTTGGATACGAGGAGGTAGATCTGAAACATAATCGATTTCTCTCACTAACACGTACTGTCTCCTTTTCAGGCGACAAAAGTTTTTGGTCGAACACATTTAGATGTTGAAGTATGATTGCAGTTTGACTTAGTTACAACTAATTTATTATCAATAATTACTGCTTTGATTTTCAGTCAGACGATATCCACACAATCGCGATAGCAATACGCAATAGTCCTAAGTTAAACGAAAAAAAACCACGTATTGTCCTCATAACGAAGATACCTGAACGTACTTTAGTGGTGACAGGTACGAGAATTTATCTCTTAGAGAAATGTATCTTTATCAGTCATTTCAGATGATGACATCCGTGAATATGTATGGAAAAAACCAGCAACAATTAGAGATATATACGGATGTGGCGAAGCGTTCATCGGAGGTAACAAATAGTCTTTGATTAGTTGAAATGAAAGTCACTCACGTTCGTCTACCATACTAGGCTTTCTGTCATACGTGGCATTACGCAAAACAATAGACGAATGCGTGCATGCTGGATTGTATTGTGCATACCAGTGTTTGAATCAAATTGGTTGCCAGTTTTCACCGGATGTATCGTATGATCCCGAGATATTCTTTCGCAAGATAAATACATAACAGAAAAAGCACATCTAACAAGCATATTTTAAACATGTACAATTTTGACGATTCTGTGTAATTTTGAGTAGAAAATTGAATGAATATTATTAGAAGAAAATCTATTTGTTAACTTTGTGACTATTGATACTTGTTTTGATATAATTTTGATGATGGTGAGTACAGGAATTTTCATAAAACTTACGAGGTGATTAAAAGCTTTTTGATCGACATCTAGTGGGTTATAGGTTATCGACCATGCTACTTCCGAATATGACCATGGGACTTCCCCATAGCTCTTCGAAGATCCAGTTTTCTGGAAAACCAGTTTTTCAGAAATCCCAAAGAATACCTCAGGCCTTTCTTAATAATGCAGGATTGTAGCGCGCAAATTTCTGATTAAAATGATACATCCCCCAGCTCTACACGACCTTTCTTTGCAAAATTATAGAATTTATAAGAAGAGCCTTAAATTATTCATTGTCAGGTCAAAGCTACAGAAATAAGAAGGAAAGAATTAATTTAGGGTTCTTCTTATAAATTCTATAACTTTGCAAAGAAAGGTCGTGTAGAGCTGGGGGATGTATCATTTTAATCAGAAATTTGCGCGCTACAATCCTGCATTATTAAGAAAGGCCTGGGTTATTCTTTGGGGTTTCTGAAAAACTGGTTTTCCAGAAGACTGGATCTTCGAAGAGCTATGGGGAAGTCCCATGGTCATATTCGGAAGTAGTATGGTCGATAGCCTATAACCCACTAGATGTCGATCAAAAAGCTTTTAATCACCTCGAAAGGTTCCCTCGTTAGTCTTTTGCAGAATTCAAAAACTGGCTAAGATCTGTTTAGATGTGCGTACAATGTTTAATACTTCCTGTTAAAGTGCATTTAGTATCTTTTACACATTATGAATTTGCTATGGTTTTTAGATATTTTTCTTGTTGTTACATATAGTTGCCTTTTGTAGATTAGTTAGTTATAGTTATTTTGCAACAATGAAACTAGCTACTGCTTAAAAGCAAAAGCCTTTTCAGGAAACTTTGAAGAAGAAAGAATTAAATGAGGCTGTGAAAACAGAAAACCGTATGAGAATGAGAGTTAACGAGAAAGTCAATCTGATCATAAGCGAAAAGAAGACGTAGAAAATGGACAGTATTTTCATGATGACAGTAAAGCGAAACAGTAGCAAAAATAGTTGTGTTTTTTTTATAAGAACAAAAACTGTTTGGGTTTTTGACACACATGAAAAGCTTTACATGAATGAAGCGTGTCAACCGATATGGTTTAAAACAAATTTCTAGGATAACATGCTTGATTCCCCTCATGAACTCTTAGTAAAAAGAAAAAGCGAACATTTTTCCTAAACGTTTTGACGATAAAAATGACAGTTCTAAAAATTTGTTATCATCTTCTAACCAAAAGATGCACTTAAGTCTGACGAGGAAACCTCTCGAGGTGATTACAAGCTTTAGACTATTTTCATCATGTAGGGAATAGTCAGTAGTGAAAAACCCCATGTTAGTTTGGGTCCATGTGCCTTTTTGACGGAGATATGAGTTAATTAATAATAATGCCATTAATAATAATTAATTAATAGCTCACGACCATGATCAGCTAAGAGTCGGAAATTTATACCACAGTTGAAGATAGATGTTGTTTACTCACTGCGACACTTTTAGGCTTATAAACCAAAGCTTTTGCAAGATATGAATTTTTTATGATTTAGACAGTTTTTAGTGAAAATTCACCATTGAAAACCTAAAAACTTGTTATCACTTTTTAGAT